TCTGATGTAAGAGGGAACTCTGCGGATTATGATGCAAGCAGGAATGCTACAGGTGTAAAGGGGAACTCTGATGTAAGAGGGAACTCTGCGGATTATGATGTAAGCAGGAATGCTACAGGTGTAAAGGGAAACTCTGATGTAAGAGGGAACTCTGCTGATTATGATGTAAGCAGGAATGCTGCAGGTGTAAAGGGGAACTCTGATGTAAGAGGGAACTCTGCTGATTATGATGCAAGCAGGAATGCTGCAGGTGTAAAGAGGAACTCTGATGTAAGAGGGAACTCTGCGGATTATGATGCAAGCAGGAATGCTACAGGTGTAAAGGGGAACTCTGATGTAAGAGGGAACTCTGCGGATTATGATGCAAGCAGGAATGCTACAGGTGTAAAGGGGAACTCTGATGTAAGAGGGAACTCTGCGGATTATGATGCAAGCAGGAATGCTGCAGGTGTAAAGAGGAACTCTGATGTAAGAGGGAACTCTGCGGATTATGATGCAAGCAGGAATGCTACAGGTGTAAAGGGGAACTCTGATGTAAGAGGGAACTCTGCGGATTATGATGCAAGCAGGAATGCTACAGGTGTAAAGGGGAACTCTGATGTAAGAGGGAACTCTGCGGATTATGATGCAAGCAGGAATGCTACAGGTGTAAAGGGGAACTCTGATGTAAGAGGGAACTCTGCGGATTATGATGTAAGCAGGAATGCTACAGCTGTAAAGGGGAACTCTGATGTAAGAGGGAACTCTGCAGATTATGATGTATGCAGGAATGCTGCATGTGTAGAGGGGAATTCTGATGTAAGGGAAGGCTCTGGTGACCAGACTATTTCAGAGTCCACAGCTTTCTCCTATACATCAGAGTTCCCATTTACATCAAGGTCTGCAGCATTTCCCTTTACATCAGAGTTCCCCTTTACATCAAGGTCTGCAGAGTTCCCTTTTGCACTATAATGGGAAATCCTGCAGACTCTGATGTAAAGGGAACTTTGGGGATACTGATTAAAGGGGGACTCTGGTGATCACAGACTACCTTCCGCAGAGTGAATACACTAAGGTATGGGGACGTTACTGATATAAGGGGGAACCTTTTTACCTGCCTCCCCCCAGCTTTACTGTATTCACTTCCCCCTTACATCAGTGAAACGAGCCCCCCCTCACCGACTGACTTTGCATCACTGTCACAGTGCCTTGCGCACGGCTCAGTCACACGGTCCTCTGGGCTCCAGCTTGGTGTCTCTGGTTTCATCTTATATTCTCCTCTCCGCAGTCCACACAAATATGACTTCCCATGACCCCGTCCAGGCAGTGCTCATACTCTTGACTCCTCTCCAGGCTTCCCCTCAGAGGCTGCAGACATGATAGGAGAGATAGCCAGAGATTGCTGATACAATACAATAGATGGTCAGAGACTGCCGATATGAAAAAGGAGATGGTCAGGCTGACATTGCGGACAAAATAAAAGAGATGTTTAGAAACTGCAGACAGGATTCAAGAGATGGTTAAAGGCTGCAGACATGATACAAAAGAGATAGTCAGAGATAGTAGACATGATACAAGAGATAGCCTGAGACTGCAGACATGATACAAGAGATAGCCTGAGACTGCAGACATGATACAAGAGATGGTCAGAGACTGCAGACATGATACAAGAGATGGTCAGAGACTGCAGACATGATACAAGAGATGGTCAGAGACTGCAGACATGATACAAGAGATGGTCAGAGACTGCAGATATGATATAACAGATGGTCAGAGATCTCAGACATGATAAAACAGATGGTCAGAGACCGCAGACATGATACAACAGATGGTCAGAGACCGCAGACATGATACAACAGATGGTTAGAGACCTCAGACATGATACAAGAGATGGTCAGAGACTGCAGACATGATACAACAGATGGTTAGAGACCTCAGACATGATACAGGAGATGGTCAGAGACCACAGACATGATACAGGAGATGGTCAGAGACCGCAGACATGATACAACAGATGGTCAGAGACCGCAGACATGATACAACAGATGGTCAGAGACCGCAGACATGATACAACAGATGGTCAGAGACCGCAGACATGATACAACAGATGGTCAGACACCGCAGACATGATACAACAGATGGTCAGAGACTGCAGACATGATACAAACGAGATAGCCAGAGATAGTAGACATGATACAAGAGATAGTCAGAGACTGCAGACATGATACAAGAAATAGCCAGAGACTGCGGACATGATACAAGAAATAGCCAGAGACTGCGGACATGATACAACAGATGGTCAGAGACTGTAGACATGATACAAGGGATGGTCAGAGACTGCAGACATGATACAAACAAGATAGCCAGAGATAGTAGACATGATACAAGAAATAGCCAGAGACTGTGGACATGATACAAGAAATAGCCAGAGGCTGCGGACATGATGGATGTTGCAGGGGTCAAGTCTTGGGGACTCGATGCTCACAGTGGTGTGGTGAGAGCCTCCAGAAGCCATGGATGGATGTTGCAGGGGTCAAGTCTCAGGGTCTTGATGCTCACAGTGGTGTGGTGAAAGTCTCCAAAAGCCATGGATGGCTGGTGCAGGGGTCCAATCTCCACATCTCAGAGCTCACAGTGGTGTGCTGAGAGTCTCCAGAAACCATGGATGGGTGGTGCAGGGTTCCGTTCTCCATGACTCGGTGCTCACAGCGGTGTGGTGGCATGGTGCAGTGGTCCAGTCTCTGGGACTCTATGGCCGAGCTGTTCACAGTGGCATGGTGGTGGGAGTGTTTAGGCTCTAGCCATAGATGGGAAGGTGAGGGCCTGGATGTGGTTCTCTGGGTCAGGACTCGGGAGGCATGCCCACTGCTGTGCTGCCATTCATTCAAAAATGGTGCCAGGCAGTGCCATGGCATTACTCACTCACTGCACATGTACCCGCCAAGCCGAAAATGTCCGAGTATGTCTGAGCCTACCCGGGCCCTGTCGGCTTTGGAACTGCGCATGAGCAGTTTCAAAGTCAGCCCGCAGCCATATTTTTTTATGGGCGGCAGTTGTCCGTAATGGACACTTATGGACAGTCTGTAAATTTCAACCCATTTACGGACGGTTGGAAACCCTGTCTGCATTTGGAGTGTCGTTAGGAATACATTGACACCCACAGCAGACCGCACAGCCAGTGTGTTTTGAACACGGAGCGGGAAACCCTCATTGAACGTAGGTATCCCATACGAGCCCTAAGGGCTCATTCACAGACAGCTCGGGGAATGGTAAAGCCAGATGGTTGAGTGGTTTTACCACCCCCCCCCAACCGCCCACCTAAAGAGGGGCATGCAGCCATTAGCAACACGCTTTGGCAAAAATTAAACCGTGTGTCACAGGACAGCCATCAAAAGCAACCCATTAAAGGGGCCACACACTGGTGGTGGGTCGAACTTTTGCGGGTGAGAAGTAGCCTCTTTACTGCCTGTCAAACATCCTCTGAAAAGCTATTCGCCACAGATTTTCTAAAGTTCGGTATGGGCTGTTGCAGGTGGAAATCAGCCCCCGGAGGTGGCCTGGGAACTTCTAAAAGTGGTGGAGCCAGAGAAGGAGTCACTCACCAGGAAGGGGTGCAGGCACCGGACGACCTCAGTCTTCGGTCATTGACAAGGAATGACTTTGTTTATGTCTACATTGCCAGAAAACCGAGCCAGGCCTGTAATGAGATGGTGACAGATGATAAATGCTGGCATTGCCAGGTCAGATCTATCAAATTCCCAGGTATCCTTTCGGCACGATTGCTCATGTACTTGTACTGTATGTGTCCTTCACTTGCTGACAGGATAAGCGAGGCCTGGCTCCTCCATTTGGTGAGGGACAGATGTTTTACCAATCCCGTGGCAACTTCCTGTTTCATTTCCAAGACAGGAAGTGAAGGGAAATCTCCCCAGCTGGATGCAAACTTCAAAACAAATGTCTTCTATAGTTTTTGTGGGACCCGTCCCCACACTTCCAGCTCAGGCCTGATGGACGCTCCCATCCTCTGTGCAAAGTCTCCATGGTAGAGATGAGCTTGGACGTCCTCTGACCTCACCTCTACCCCAACATCCAAAGTGGCGCTCTTTTTTTTAGTCCAATCAGCTGCAGGCCGGGTTATTCAGTGCCGTTGGCTAAACACGGACAGGGCACTGGCGTCCCCAGCATCCCACCTCTTTGTTTACATGTAAATGACCCGGCCCGCAGCTGATTGGACTAAGAAAAGTAGCACGACTTTAAAGTTCAGATAGAGATGAGGGCGCCTGATTCTGGGATACTTACGACACGCTTTTCAGGTGAATGAGCCATGATGATGCATCAGTGGACCAAGAAGAAACAGGAAGTCTCCTGATGATGTAAGAAGGGAAGATGGCGGCCAGGGCCTGGCGTGTGGCGACGGAGCAGCGGCTTACACCAGACAGCGCTGGACTCGCAAGGCGTGAGTAAGGGTTTTGAGTACAACTCAAGATGGAATAAGAAAACGAAATATGTGGGGGTGGAGTGACCCTGTCACCATTTTAACAATGTTCATGTAACGCCAAGGCAGCGGATCACAGGGGGTCACTCGTGAACAGGACTTTGTAATACACCTCATGACAAGAATGATATCCATGTTACTCTATATAACCATCTGCAAGTGATGTTAAGTGTAGTTTTGAACAGTAGATCCATTTTATAAGTACATATTTGTTGAGAGGCATGTCTGCCATCTTACTACACCTATTACTGAGGCAGCCATCTTGCTATACCCAAATAGAACGTGATAATGCTGTCTCATGCAGCGATGTCCGTCATCTTGGTACTCCTCCGCAGTGGCCCCCGCTCATAGCCCATCTCCTTCATCTTAGTACACCCTCTCGCCATAATCATGTTACAATAACTCCGCCATCTTGGTACACCCTCGCGGTGATTCAGCTCACCCCGGCGCCCGCCATCTTGCTCCTCCCGTGCCCTCCAATTATTCGTCTTTCCGGCCCCTCCTCCTGCAGGCAGACACTAGAATCATGGCGGCGATGAAGATGCTGAATCCTATGGCTCCGGTTTTAACCGGAGGGCGACCGGCTGAAATGGACTGGATGAACCGGGAGGTCACCACCGGGGTGAGTCAGGCCGGAAATACTGCTATGGGAGCTTCCTGGGGGCTACGCGATACCGGGAAAAGCCTGGCAGAAAGGCCGCTGGTGGTGGAACCTGTCTGCATGGATTGTGGAGGGGGCCAGAACACCTCCAGAGGAGGGAGAACGTAAACCAGCCATTGTATTAAATGTACACTGCTGAAAAAATGATAGAAACACTTTGTAATCAGAGTATAGCATGAAGTCAGTGACAGTCCTGGGATATGGATCTGGTCAGGTAAGTAACAGAGGGGGATGGTAATCAGTTTCAGCTGCTTTGGTGTTCATGAAACTAACAACAGGTGCAGTAGATGGGCAACAATGAGACAACCCCCAAAACAGGAATGGTTTTACAGGTGGAGGCCACTGGTGTGAATGTCTCTGACCAAACAATCAGAAACAGACTTCATGAGGGCCCGACTTCCTCCTGGTGCCGTGGGCCCTGGGTTCCTCCTGGTGCCGTGGGCCCTGGGTTCCTCCTGGTGCCGTGGGCCCTGGGTTCCTCCTGGTGCCGTGGGCCCTGGGTTCCTCCTGGTGCCGTGGGCCCTGGGTTCCTCCTGGTGCCGTGGGCCCTGGGTTCCTCGTGGGTCCTGGGTTCCTCGTGGGCCCTGGGTTCCTCCTGGTGCGGTGGGCCCTGGGTTCCTCCTGGTGCGGTGGGCCCTGGGTTCCTCCTGGTGCGGTGGGCCCTGGGTTCCTCCTGGTGCGGTGGGCCCTGGGTTCCTCGTGGGTCCTGGGTTCCTCCTGGTGCGGTGGGTCCTGGGTTCCTCGTGGGTCCTGGGTTCCTCCTGGTGCGGTGGGACCTGGGTTCCTCCTGGTGCGGTGGGACCTGGGTTCCTCCTGGTGCGGTGGGACCTGGGTTCCTCCTGGTGCGGTGGGACCTGGGTTCCTCCTGGTGCGGTGGGACCTGGGTTCCTCCTGGTGCGGTGGGCCCTGGGTTCCTCCTGGTGCGGTGGGACCTGGGTTCCTCCTGGTGCGGTGGGACCTGGGTTCCTCCTGGTGCGGTGGGACCTGGGTTCCTCCTGGTGCGGTGGGCCCTGGGTTCCTCCTGGTGCGGTGGGCCCTGGGTTCCTCCTGGTGCGGTGGGCCCTGGGTTCCTCCTGGTGCGGTGGGTCCTGGGTTCCTCCTGGTGCGGTGGGTCCTGGGTTCCTCCTGCTGCACAGCAATGCCCGGCCTCATGTGGGGAGAGTATGCAGGCAGTTCCTGGAGGATGAAGGAATTGATACCATTGAATGGCCCCCACACTCACCTGACCTAAATCCAATAGAACACCTCTGGGATGTCATGTTTCGGTCCATCCGATGCCGCCAGGTTGCACCTCAGACTGTCCAGGAGCTCAGTGATGCCCGGGTCCAGATCTGGGAGGAAATCACCCAGGACACCATCCATCATCTCATTAGGAGCCTCCCCCGATGTTGTCAGGCATGCATACAAGCACGTGGGGGCCACACAGACTACTGAGGACCATTCTGAGTTGCTGCAATGAAACTTCAGCAAAATGGACTCGCCTGCTGCATCATTTTTTCACTTTGATTTTTGGGGTGTCTTTGAATTCAGTCCTCTGTAGGTCGATCATTTTCATTTCCATCAAACGATGGGGCGTCCTTACGTTCCTCACACATCACCCCGTCCATGTCAGTATAGAGATCCAGCAGGAGATTTGTCCCCATTGAGATCTGATGGGTTTTCAAAGTGTTCCTTTCATTTTTGAGCAGTGAGTGTGAGAAATATATATATGTATTTATTATAATCATTCCTATATATATATATTATATAGTTATTATATATTTTATGTATGATTCACAGGGTTGTTTTTTTTTTTTTTACCCCCTGAAGTGTCCTGTATTTTCCTCTGGAGCCTGTAACTTCTGTGACAGTTGGTGCATTATTTTATGATAAAGAGAACCTGTCATTGGTGAGGTTTACATAGAATGGCTTTGACCCTAAGAGCCAGTACATGCAGATAGTTGGTGGGGGGGGGGGGGGGGTTGTCCTTTTAGAATGGAATCTGACAGATGTCCGCTCTATGCAGGTCTTGAATGAAGTGTGGAATACTAGACAGACGGAGATCTGTTACTCAATCCAGTAAAGTTAAAATATTTTTTTACACCAACTTCTAAAAGTTAAAATGGACCTTCACCCTCCCCACTTCATTGCCCATCAATCTGTTCCTACCCCCCCCTCCTCTCACACACAATGCTGACATCATTTTCCAGCTCATGATTTTTGTGTGTCTCAAGGTCACTTTTGTTGTCTTTCTATCCACAGACCACAATTATGGCGGTAGAATTCGATGGAGGAGTGGTGATCGGTGCCGATTCACGGACTACAACTGGGTAGGTTTTGGCATTGGCAGCATGGTGAAAGGGCGAGTGGTGGATACTCGAGGTGTGACAGTTAAATTCCCGGAATGCCTGCGGCGTACTAATATGTTGATGGGTCAAATAGCCGTTCGCACTCCAGCGTGTTCTGTCATGTTCTTACTTGCACTCTCCTGTGTCGCAGACCAGCTGACTCAGTCTTTATGGAGTAGAAGAAGAAATAACGCGTTTCCATTGTGCTGATGGTGGAAAATAAGTGACAGGAATCTAGAGTAATGAATTGACATAAAAGTTTCGGTGAAAATTGGCAAAAGTGGGAGTGAAACTTTAGCTCTGTTACAATAGGCTTATGGTGAACATTCCATGAAGGAATCAAGTGTTTTTGAAGGGCATTGATGGTTTAAGTTGGGGCCAGAAGATGTCCATGATGACACAAGAAGTGGGCTGCCCAAAATGCAAAGGATGGATGGAAATGTGGACAAAGTTCGAACCCTCGTATGCTCAGATAGTAGATTGAGATGGCAGAAGAATTGGACATGAAAGGCAGATTCTAACAGAGGATTTAGGAATGAGAGATTTCTGCAAAGATGGTGCTTCAAATCTTGGCAGAAGATTAGAAGGAACATCGTCTTCAAATTTTATCCCATCTTTTTAGGTCACTTTTGTTTTTTTTTTGTTTTTTTACAGTCTATTTCGGGAATTAAATTGTCACACCTCGTATTTCGGCTAATGGGCATTAGCTCTGATGTGGAGGGTACAGAAGGTGCTCTGGCAGTAGTGTCATCCTTCCTCTGTAGGGCCTCTCGTGCGGGCCTTCCTCTGTAGGGCCTCTCGTGCGGGCCTTCCCCTGCGGGGCCTCTCGTGCGGGCCTTCCCCTGCGGGGCCTCTCGCGCGGGCCTTCCCCTGCGGGGCCTCTCGCGCGGGCCTTCCCCTGCGGGGCCTCTCGCGCGGGCCTTCCCCTGCGGGGCCTCTCGCGCGGGGGGCCTCTCGCCTTCCCCTGCGGGGCCTCTCGCGCGGGCCTTCCCCTGCGGGGCCTCTCGCGCGGGCCTTCCCCTGCGGGGCCTTGTTTGTAGACTTTCTGCATGGGTCCTCCACATTGCAAGTGTGGTGGATATAGTGGCAGCATTAGCTACATACAGTAAGCAGGAGCTGGGTTCTGGCAGTTGTACGGGTGACTTCCCATCTGCGGCCAGAGCTATATTGAGTTGGCCTGAGCACTTCTCCGCCATTCAGAAGTTTTCTATTTATATCAATGAACACAAGGCTTTCTCTGATTGACAGAGGTAGAAATTTTGTCATTCACCTGCCTCTCCACCTCGGGCATTCAGAAAGAGCCTTGTATTCATTATTAAAAAAAAACAAATGTTTTCCTGATTGGCGGAGAAGTCTTCAGGCTGACTCAGTTTAGTTTCGGCAGCAGATAGGAAGTCGCCGGTACTACTGCTGGAACACAGCACTGCTGCCAGTATGTAGCTATAATGATACTACAATATAGTACGGCACACACAGCAGCCACAGTTATGTAAAGGAAATAGTTCATTGGGGTCAGCGGGGCTCAAACAAACTAAAGTCACAGGAAACCTGAAATTCCACTTTAATCTAGCCACAGGTTCTCTTTTTTAAAGAGACCCTGTCACCATAATGATTGAAAAAAAGTCACCCTGTGAACGATGTTGCCATCCCAGAGAGTGCTCAGTGCAGCCTGCACTGTTGCACACTTCTGGGTATGTTGCGTATCTTGTTTGTCATGTTTTGATCTCCCCTCCACCAGTCACCTTGTCATTACTGTTTTATTTCTTCACATGGTGACTTTGCTACTTTTTTTGGCAATAGCGTCTCTGTAATTGAGTTTTAGAAAGGTTCACAGCTGTTTATTATGACTCTGGGACTGGTCACGTGACTGCAGTAAGGTCATGCATTTGAAGTAAGTTGCCTGATTTGGTCTGTTTCTGTCAGCTGACCAATGGCTTCATGTGATTTGCCATAGTCCACCTCTTCCTTGGGAGCCGCCTGCTTATGTCTTCATTCTCTGTCCATCTATAAGTATACATATGAGCCTTTGGCCTTTGTCCATGTTTATATCTGACCGCCAACTTACATTTTATCCTTCTCTTATTACACTCTGGTCATCTAGCAGGTAGTCCCTGGTGTGGCAAAGTGAGCGCTTATCTCATGGGGGGGTCACTTACTGAACTTGTTGTCATTCTTCTGCAGTTCATACATCGCTAACAGAGTGACAGACAAGCTGACTCCGGTACACGATCACATCTTCTGTTGTCGCTCCGGCAGTGCTGCTGACACACAAGCCATCGCAGACGCCGTCGCCTACCAGCTCAGTTTCCACAGGTGAGAATCCAACGCTGACTTCATTGTATTAAAGGAGAAGTATGGTGTTTGTTAACCCCTTTGCGCCGGCGCCTTACGTCTCTTTAAGGGTTTCAGAAGACGGGAGGCGGGCGGGCAGGGTTTTTAGGGTCATGTGACCGCCGTGATTCACTGTCACAGCGGTTACATGATTGGAAAGGTCCCGATCACAAGAGGAGATCGGGACCTTTCCGTGAGTATGGGATATGCGCGCTGGAAGCGCGCTGGGCACGCTGTTTTTTCTTAATTGTAAACGCAAATGTGCGGCTGTTCGGCGTCAAGGCCCAATCGCCGGGAGGCCGCACGTTTGCGTGCAGCCGGCACCAAGAGGTTAAAAAACATACATCCATACTCGTCTCTGTGCTCTATCATTGGTATGATGCCACGGCTGTTCCACATCAGCTCTAAGCCTGAGAACTGAGTGATCACATGACCGGCGATCGCTCAGTTCTCAGTCTGTGGAGAGCGGTAACTGTTAGTCACTGCTTTGCTCTTCCAGCACTCAGCTACCGAGGGGACAGGCACAGTCACAGCTGGCTCAAGCTCTCAGCCTCATGCTGAGAGGCAGAGCCAGCTATTAATCAGGCAGCTGGGTGGATCTTAACCTTATTGTCGGGAGCCTTCCATAGCCTGGAGCAGCTCTGCCACATCAGCTGATAGTGGATAGTAGACAAAAGCCCAACTCTGAGTCACAGAACGACAAAAGTAAGTGAACTCCTGTGACCTACAAGAGATGTATGGCCAATAAAGCCTTTACCACTTCACTTTAGCTCCGGGCCAGTTTTGGCGCTTTTTTTACATTTTAAAATCAGTATTTTTTGCTAGAGGATGTCTTAGAACCCCCAAATATTATAATACTCTAATATTATAATATTTTTTAAAAGCAGAGGCCCTAGAGCACGGGTGTCAACTGGCGGCCCTCCAGCTGTTGCCAAACTACAAAGTCCCATGAGGCATTGCAAGACTGAAAGTTACAAGCATGACTCCTAAAGGCAGGGGCATGATGGGACTTGTAGTGTCGCAACAGCTGGAGGGCTACCAGTTTGACACCTCTGCCCTAGAGAATAAATTGGTGGTTTTTAAAAAAAAAACTGTAGCTGCTGACACTCACCTGTCCCTTTATCCTTCGGTGTCCTGACACCGGCCGGGTTGACCGACCATCCTGTCTCTGTGCCGGCATCTTGACTGTGGGCACCCGGCTGTGACAGCTTGCGGATTCACAGCCGGCTGCCCACTGCACATGTGCGAGTAGCTCTTCGCTTTGTGAATAGTCCTGTAGTCTTCTGGGACCTCTCATGTGTTCCAGAAAACTAGGGGGGAGGGCAATCACCTAGGCGATTGCAGTGGGAGTGGGCACCTGTCGAAATTCCCCAAAGGTGAAAATCCTTAATGGAGAGCGGGCACAAAGGCTTAAAGCAGAACTTCCCCTTTTGGGTGGAGCTCTGCTTTAACCCCTTTACGCCAGCCGCACACAAATGTGCGGACTCCCGGGGTCTGGGCCTAGACGCCGAGCGGCCGCACGTTTGCGTTCATGTAACAAAAAACATATGTGCTGAGAGCGCGTGCCCTGCGCGCTCCCAGCACACCTGCGGTACTCACGGAATGGTCCCGATCCGCTCTTTCGATCTGGACCTTTCCCGATCATGTGACCACAGTGATGACGCGTCACTTGATCCCTAAACCACGCCCCACCCGCCTCCCAGCATCTGAAACTCTTAAAGGGCTAGGAGGCGCCAGCAGGAAGGGGTTAAGTTATTAAGTCTGTAGTGAAGTTATAGAATCTACAAACAATGTGGGATATTCTGTGCATTCAGAAAGTATTCAGACCCCATTCATTTTATTTCCAATTTTGTTGTGTAGCAGCCTGATATTACAGTTGTTTAAATGTATTTATTTTTTCTCATTAATCTACACTCCGTACCTCATAATGACAAAGTGAAAACAGAATTCTAGAAATGTTTGCAAATGTATGAAAAAGGAATACCTGAAATATGACATTGGCATAAGTATTCAGACCCTTTGCAACAACACTTAAAATTTAGCTTGGGTGCCTTCTATTTCTCCTGATTGTTGCTGTGATGTCTCTACACCTTGGGGGAAAAAATAAATTGGACATGATTTGGAAAGGGGCGCACCTAACTGTGAAAGGCCTCATAATGCATTCTGTATCAGAGTTCAAAGGAACTGTCTGCAGAGCTCAGAGACAGGATTATTCCAAGACACAGATCTGAAGAAGGCTACCAAAACATTTCTGCTGCACTGAAGGTTCCTAAGAGCAGTGACCTCCATAATTCTCAAATGGAAGAAGTTTGGCACAACCAGGACTCTTCAAAGAGCTGGTCGCCCGGTTGAGGTAGAAGGGCCTTAGTAAGAGAGGTGAACCCAATGGTCACTGACTGAGCGCCATAGATCCTGGGTGGAGATCGGGCAAAATGGCATTAATAATGGTGCCTTTTCCTGTTTCTGATAGCATTGAGCTGGGGGCTCCCCCTCTCGTACACACCGCTGCCAGCCTCTTCAAGGACATGTGCTACAGGTACCGTGAAGATTTGATGGCCGGGATCATCGTAGCCGGATGGGATTCTAGAAAGGGTGGACAGGTGAGAATAGACGCCCCCTACCCATCCTTCTGTAGTCTCAAGCTACCCTCTTACTATCTATTATGTTTCCCTCACACAGGTTTATACTGTACCCATGGGAGGGATGATGGTCCACCAGCCCTTCTCCATAGGAGGATCCGGGAGTTCATATATCTATGGCTTTGTGGATTCTACATACAGGACGGGAATGACCAAGGAGGAGTGTGTGAAATTTACAGCCAATGGTGAGATCAATGTGGCACTGAGGCACAAGTCTTTCCTCCTCCTCCTGCGGGGTGATAGAAAGAAGGGGCTATGAGTCTGTCCTCCTCCTGCAGGGTGATACAGACAGAAGGGGGCTATGAGTCTGTCCTCCTCCTGCCGGGTGATACAGACAGAAGGGGGCTATGAGTCTGTCCTCCTCCTGCCGGGTGATACAGACAGAAGGGGGCTATGAGTCTGTCCTCCTCCTGCCGGGTGATACAGACAGAAGGGGGCTATGAGTCTGTCCTCCTCTTGCAGGGTGATACAGACAGAAGGGGGCTATGAGTCTGTCCTCCTCCTGCAGGGTGATACAGACAGAAGGGGGCTACGAGTCTGTCCTCCTCCTGCAGGGTGATACAGACAGAAGGGGGCTATGAGTCTGTCCTCCTCCTGCAGGGTGATACAGACAGAAGAAGGGGCTATGAGTCTGTCCTCCTCCTGCAGGGTGATACAGACAGAAGGGGGCTACGAGTCTGTCCTCCTCCTGCAGGGTGATACAGACAGAAGGGGGCTATGAGTCTGTCCTCCTCCTGCAGGGTGATACAGACAGAAGGGGGCTACGAGTCTGTCCTCCTCCTGCAGGATGATACAGACTGAAGGGGTGTATGAGTCTGTCCTCCTCCTGCAGGGTGATACAGACAGAAGGGGGCTACGAGTCTGTCCTCCTCCTGCAGGGTGATACAGACAGAAGAGATCTATGAGTCTATCCTCCTGCAGGGTGATACAGACAGAAGGGGGCTATGAGTCTGTCCTCCTCCTGCCGGGTGATACAGACAGAAGGGGGCTATGAGTCTGTCCTCCTCCTGCCGGGTGATACAGACAGAAGGGGGCTATGAGTCTGTCCTCCTCTTGCAGGGTGATACAGACAGAAGGGGGCTATGAGTCTGTCCTCCTCCTGCAGGGTGATACAGACAGAGAAGGGGGCTACGAGTCTGTCCTCCTCCTGCAGGGTGATACAGACAGAAGGGGGCTATGAGTCTGTCCTCCTCCTGCAGGGTGATACAGACAGAAGGGGGCTATGAGTCTGTCCTCCTCCTGCAGGGTGATACAGACAGAAGGGGGCTACGAGTCTGTCCTCCTCCTGCAGGGTGATACAGACAGAAGGGGGCTATGAGTCTGTCCTCCTCCTGCAGGGTGATACAGACAGAAGGGGGCTACGAGTCTGTCCTCCTCCTGCAGGATGATACAGACTGAAGGGGTGTATGAGTCTGTCCTCCTCCTGCAGGGTGATACAGACAGAAGGGGGCTACGAGTCTGTCCTCCTCCTGCAGGGTGATACAGACAGAAGAGATCTATGAGTCTATCCTCCTGCAGGGTGTTTTGTGTGGTTATACTTTCTTCTGTAAAAAGTTGTCTTTCTCTCTTCTGTTAGCTTTGGCATTGGCGATGGAGCGGGACGGGTCCAGCGGTGGAGTGATTCGTCTTGCCGCCATCACGGAGTCAGGGGTGGAGCGACAGGTTATTCTCGGTAATGAGCTCCCCAAGTTTCCAGTATCGTAATGTCAAACCAGTTTCCTCTCTCTGTAGTCTGGTAGCTCTTATGTTTTGTTACTACAATGATGTTAAACAGAATAAAAGGTGACTTGTGAACCTTACCAGGCCGTGCCATTGTCTCCTCTTTGATGAAAATCAGTCAGGACAGACATACGTCAGCTTAGTCCACCAACTTTTTTCTTTTTAAAGGTGCATGTATTGAAAGTGTCATCTTTATGCATTTACTATTATTTTGCATTTATTAGTTTTTGTCACAGAAGCCAGCAGAGCATAGAGCATGGCACCTGAGACACCAGTACATTGTGGGTGCAATGTGCAAACCCCCCCCCAATGTATTCCCCAGCCTCAGGTCTGTAGGAGGTATGAATGTGCTGTTATGGGGCTGGAGAAAGTGCGGCTGAACTACAGGAGGAGGGAGGATGGATCCCCGCCACGCTGCCTAAATGATGCGGCCGAACAGGAAGAACCACACGGCGGTGCTAATTTCACATCATTAAACCTTTCATTTCAATGCATTTTATTCATTTTAACTTTGTCAGAATGACAAAAAGATATCATGCAGGAAAAAAAACCGTGTCGCAGCCCCAAGTTGTAAAATCTACTCAAAGACAACAACATAAATGGTTATATAGTAAAATGGTACAAAAACAGTCGTCGTAACAGTTTAAATCAGGGATTTGCAGCCTTTGTACCTTTTGGTACACATTTTTGAGATCTTGGTGAGCCCCTGAAATAATGTTCAGATGTACAGCTCACAGAACATTGGTATGATCAGCTCGCTGTTGTATCATATCATATATATATATATGATGTGTGTGTGATCTCTATATTTTTAGAGATCGCATCAAGTAGAATCCATATTAAAACTTATCTATTAATATGAAACTTGTGCTTTTTTTTTTTTTTTTTTTGCACATATTCAATTCTGGGTCCAACTTAACCCCTTCACGCCTGAGGGTAAAACAAATCTAAATGCCTAAGCACAATTTTGCAATGTTGACCTGTGTTAGTAAAACTGTACATATCATCACAACTACTTTGTACATTCGGGTGAATTATACCACGTTTTTCTCAGGACAAATTGGGCTTTTATTTGGTGGTAAATGGTAATGGATATCTCCTGATTCTTTTTTTTATTATCAAAGGCAAACTGACCCAAAATAGTAAAAAAAAAAAAAAATCATTTTTTTAATTTAGCTGTGTGTTTCTTGTTACTACCATAACCTACCACCAATGAACAACCCAAAATAAGTTTTCCAGCTCTTGACGATCGCAGCGATACCATATATGTGTATGTTGTTTGTACTCGTAGTACAGCCCATAATCAATAGTGCACTTTTTTTTTTAACCTAAAACACACTGACACACCAATTTTTATTTATTTATTTATTTATTTATTTTTTATCCTGACCTTTGACCCAAACACGTACCCTGGCACTGAACTAGATCAAACCTTGATCTAGGTATTTTTTTCTTTATTTTTTATTTTATTTTTTTATATTTATTTATCTTTTTTTTTTCTTTCCCCTCTATGCCTGGAGTTAGAGAAATAATGTATCTCTCTCCATTCATAGAGAGAGAAAAAAAGAAGGGGTCCTGACTATACAGTGACTGATCACTGAGATAGCCAATCGGAGGCTATCACAGCAATCATGTGACCCAGAATCGAGAGTCCCGGGTCCTGATCGTTAGAACTGGACCCGGTGCTATCAGTGGCACCCCGGTCTTTGTGCTGGTAGAACGCCGTGCAGCGCTCTCCCAGCAGAAAGACAGGTACACAAATATGCGGCCCCACGGAAAAAGGCCCAGTTCTGTGAGGCCGCATATTTGTGTTACGTTGGCGTCAAGGGGTTAAGTTATCGGCATACGGGGGAGAAAGTGTACGCTGCATGGGAGCAGGGCACATTACATGGGAGTGGGGCACACAGCTGGGCACATTACATGGGGCACACTACTCCGGACAGACCACGGGGCACACTACATGGGAGTGGGGCACATTACATGGGGCACACTACTCTGGACAGGGCACACTACATGGGAGTGGGGCAGGCCACAGGGCACACTACATGGGAGTGGGACAGGCCACAGGGCACACTACTCTGGACAGGGCACACTACATGGGAGTGGGACAGGCCACAGGGCACACTACATGGGAGTGGGGCACATTACATGAGGCACACTACTCGAGACAGACCACATGGGAGTGAGGCACACTACTCTGGACAGGGCACACTACATGGGAGTGGGGCAAACCACAGGGCACGCTTCATGGGAGTTGGGCACCTTACATGGGGCACACTACTATAGAAAGGGCACACTACATGGGAGTGGGGCAGACCACAGGGCACACTACATGGGAGTGGGGCACATTACATGGGGCACACTACTCGGGACAGGGCACACTACATGGGAGTGGGGCACATTACATGGGGCACACTACTCTGGACAGGGCACACTACATGGGAGTGGGGCAGGCCACAGGGCACACTACATGGGAGTGGGGCACATTACATGAGGCACACTACTCGAGACAGACCACATGGGAGTGAGGCACACTACTCTGGACAGGGCACACTACATGGGAGTGGGGCAGACCACAGGGCACGCTACATGGGAGTTGGGCACCTTACATGGGGCACACTACTATAGAAAGGGCACACTACATGGGAGTGGGGCAGACCACAGGGCACACTACATGGGGGTGGGGCACATTACATGGGGCACACTACTCGGAACAGGGCACACTACATGGGAGTGGGGCACATTACATGGGGCACACTACATGGGAGTGGGGCACATTACATGGGGCACACTACACGGGACAGACCACAGTGCGTATTGTGGAGGTGGAAGTTGGGCACACTACTGTACTGGTTTCCTTCTTATGCAGAGGTGGTTCTCTTGGCACGCTGTGCCCTGACGGCCCTCCTCTCCATCCCAGATGATGTCACATGCAAGCACCTGGGATGGACAGGGGGAGGGGTCGGCGGGGAACAGTACACCACAGCCTACACTATCCCAGCTGCTTCCCTTATCTTTGTGTGTGTCGGCAGAGGAATGTGATCTACCTGTCTGCTGCCTGCGACTGACAAGATTGCCACGGAACTCCTGGGGACCTCTCGGTTCTCCCCCGAATACTGCTTGAGAATCACTGATTTAAACCGCAAGGCTTAGGGTGGCTAAGCAGATGGCGGCAACTCAAAGCCAGCAGCCTACCCCTCCAAATGTCACACTACTACCAGCCGTAACCTCCGCAACCTTAACCCTGCCCCCCTCCACTCTGCAGCTGATCAACTCCACAACCGCATCCTCCCCCTGTCCTGCCCCGACTTGGCCATGACTGCCTACAACAACGCGCTGTCAACAGCCCTTGACTCACTAGCGCCTTTAACCACACGCAACATCAGACCCCGACCGCTCCAGCCCTGGCAGACTGATCACACCAAAACCCTCAAACGACACAGTCGTGCCCTGGAGCGACTATGGCGCAAAACCAAATCCCAACAAGCCTTCACCCGCTACAAATCTGCCTTCCACACCTACACCTCCTCCCTCCACGCAGCCAAACAGGCCTACTTCCTTACCCTTATCAAGGCCCTCTCCTCCAATCCTCGCCGACTCTTCTCCACCTTCAACTCTCTACTCTCGCCACCCCCACCTCCACCCAGCACCTCACTCACTGCCCTTCAGATTGCCAATCACTTCAAAAACAAGATTGACACAATTCGCAAGGACATCGCCGCAACTCACACACCCTCTCAACCCGTCCCCTCTCACACAGCTACCCCCTCATCCCCCCTCCCCCTCGACATAACCCACAGGGACTTCGTCGCTGCTCAAACTCCCTCCAACCCCCTTCCCCCTCACTCAGCTACCCCCTCTTCACCCCTCTCCCACGGCCTCACCACTGCTCTGACCTCCACCCCACCCTACCTTCCTCATACTGAAGCTCCCCCAACACTCCGCACCTTTGACCTTATCACCATCGAGGAAGTCTCCAAGATCCTCTCTGATGCCCGCCTCACCACCTGCCCCCTCGACCCTATCCCCTCACAACTCCTACGACCTCCCTCCCCCCCTCCATCCTATGCTCCCTCTCCTCTGGCACTTTCCCTTCCCCTCTGAAACATGCACACATCACCCCCATACTTAAAAAGCCCTCCCTGGACCCCAATGACCCGAACAACCTCAGACCCATCTCCCTGCTCCCATTTACATCTAAACTCCTCGAGCGCCTCGTCTACACCCGCCTATGCTCTCACCTAAACGACAACAACCTCCTCGATCCCCTACAGTCCGGCTTCCGTCCCCTACACTCCACCGAAACCACCTTACTCAAACTCTCCAACAACCTTCTAACCGCCAAAGCTAATGGCCACTATTCAGTGCTCCTACTCCTTGACCTCTCTGCGGCCTTCGACACAGTCGACCCACCCACCCCCTCCTCCTCAAAAAACTACACTCCCTCGGCCTCAGAGATTCTGCTCTCTCCTGGCTCTCATCCTACCTGTCACAACGCTCTTTCAGCATTACCTATAATGCTACCACCTCCCCCTCACTCCCCCTCTCTGTTGGGGTCCCTCAAGGCTCTGTCCTCGGGCCCCTTCTCTTCTCCATCTACACCTCCTCCCTTGGCCAACTCATACACTCTCACGGCTTCAACTACCACCTATATGCCGACGACACACAAATCTATCTCTCAACCCCCCACCTCACCCCCTCGGTCTCCGTCCGAATCACACACCTGTTGAGCGACATATCAGATTGGATGTCACTCCACTTCCTTAAACTGAACCTCTCCAAAACCGAGTTTCTTGTCTTCCCCCCCCCCCCCCCCCCCAGCCCGGACACCACCCCCCATTGACTTCTCCATCATGTCCAACAACGCCACCATCAAACCCGCCCTGCAGGCCAGAGTACTTGGTGTCATTTTGGACTCCAACCTATCCTTCCAGCCCCAAGTCCAATCACTAACTAATTCATGCAGACTCCACCTCCGCAACATC